TAAGTCTGATCCAGGGCAAAATATATTCGGAACATGTATATTTGACCTACAATATGCATATGTAGATTCATACATAAACTCTCTGCATCTCATGTATGAAAAAGGTATATAATGGCCATATACTGTAGTTGTTCTACACAACCATTTTAGAAGACTACAACATATCCTCCCTTTTAGATTGTAAGCCCTCACGGGCAGGGCCCTCCTTACCATCTTGTCTTAAATTGTATTGTGACTGTAATGTCTTCCTTAAATTGTAAAGCGCTGTGCAAACTATTGGCGCTATATAAATCCTGTATAATAATAATACCCATACTCATCTAGGCCACCAATGTTTGGCAACTACAACAAACATCCTTGTGCATAATCTTTTTGTATCCAGTGTTTCTCTGCTATGATTTTTTCTATCAGGACATACACAATTATCCTGAGGATCAGGAACAGACATATGATTTGTGCACACTCTGCAGTTGTACAATGGTTCTCTGGGAATTAGATTACTTATACAAGTATGTAGGCAGAGCAGTTGCGTGGACCTCCTTCTATTGTCACTGTGGCATCATTCATGATGTTCTAACCATGCTCCTTTTTGTAATATCCATGCATTGTCAGGCAGCAGACACCTCCCTCACACGTTGCCTGACTGAAAAAAAAGGTGTTTTCTGTCTAATCCCAGTTGCATATTATAAACAAAGAGAGAGTTTAGGGTATCACAAAATCTATTGTTAATTTATAACTATTTATCTATTTATATAAAGTGAACAAGTGTTTGTACTTGCAAGCAGTTGAATTGTATGTCCCAAAAAAAAAAATTCTGGCCCTTTGGCCAGAAATTATTTTTTGGGACATAGATATAATTTCTGGCCCTTATTAAATAGTTAGTCAGGTTGAAAACACGAGTCCATCTAGTTATATCCATGGAGTAATCTGCCAAGGATCTGTGTGAAAACTGTGTGGCAAGTAATTGGCTTAGCCTGGTACACTGTTTGTATTTTTCTAGTGATTTAATTAATCTCAGTATGAAGCAGGATAATATCATAGGGTAGCGTTGAGGAAACAGGTTTTGTTTGCAAGATATGTTCTTGGATTTTGCTGCAAGGCTAAGTTTGTACAGCACAGCCAATTTACACAAGGTACAACTGTCATAAAATAGTGCTCAGATATTTTAACAGTTCAACAAATCACAAAAGAGGCACAAAAACATGTCTGGCATCATTTGTATCTAAAAGTTAATTTATGGCTTACATTTTTGTAGTGTTGGATATAGCAGGAAGCATAAAAGCCAATGTCAGGTTTTTTTTTTTTGGTGTGTGTGTCTCTTCACTTTCTGTCCTGGAGATGCAACAGGGTGTGAGGGGAAAGTGAGAGGAATTCCCTTCTTAGACAACCGTCACTCAAACAAGTGTCCCCATCTGGAGATTTACCCTCAACTTTAATTATTATTATACAGGATTTATATAGCGCCAACAGTTTGCGCAGCACTGTACAATATAAGGTAGACATTACAATCACAATACAATTCAAGAAAAGAGGGTGAGGAGGGCCCTGTCCCTGAGGGCGTATAATCTAAAACCAAGGACAGTGCTAAAATTTGGGATTTGCATTACTTTCCCACTGCCGGTGGTCACAATGACAGATGGAGAGTAAATCCATCCATCGGGCACACAAACACCAATTAAAACTTGACTGGTGCTACTCTATACAAAACTAGAAAAAGTTTTGGTTATACATAAACTTTTAGAAAGCAGTGTTCAATCATCTAAAAGGTCCTACCCTGCATATAGTCACTCCATTTTCTCCTTAGAGAAATTAGCTTAAGGAGTCTAAAGATGGCTGTTATATCCTACAGAAATCCTTACCGTCATTATCATCATGCAACTTCAGCAAGATTAGACAATGATCAAGTAATTTCTATGAGCAAGTCTGAAGGAAATATATGAATATGTTTTCTATTGCAAACATTTGACACATCACGTGCCAGATTTTCAGACTTGACTGATATTGACCACAAAATTAATTAAAGGGGACTGATATACAAAAATGTTCCAGGTAAAACTTTTAAACATTTGGACACACGCTGTGCCCTACTAAAAGTAAGACAATTATTTGAGTTTTAGGCTCTACCCTGTAAAATTGAAAGCCATTCAGTAGAACTGAAACGCTATAAAGCAGCTCTGCAAGTGACATCTCTTTCAATAGCCAGAATAAACCATGACCTATGGCCCAGTATGTCATTTATGGAATGCGGGAATATAAAATCACAGTAGCTCACAGGTCAAAGTTTAAACAAACCACCGCAGTGAATTGGGGAAATGCTTACAATAATAAATTGTCACTGAGAAGAAGTTGTGTCATGTTTATGTCTCTTTACTTTTATCACTTTAAGTCCAGGGTTAGAAAATTTAGTTTTGCTGCTTTGTCTGTACACACTTGACTGTACACACTGTTGTTCTTCTCCATTTGTTGGTTTATTTACATTCTGTGTAATTAGAAGGCCAATATTTTGTTTTTGTTATTTTCTACAATATGCATTTTAATACTGTAATGGGTGTTGTAACCTTAGAGCAAACCTGTGCTTTTCCCATGGTGGGCAAAACAACAGATTTACTTTATTGCCCCTCTACTCAGCATACTCACTTTGCCTTCACTCTACCACCAGTCAACAGGGCCACAAACTAATAAAAATGTAAAAGCAGAAGTCTATCTAAAAGTGAAATAAGAAACGTTTTGGCTAGAGTTTGGCTATTAACACTTGAACACCAACAATATGGGAATAGCTGTGACAGTAATGAGGTCTGGCCATCACAAAACTAGTCAGGAAACCCTGTTGCACCCTCATTCTGTTGACATTTGCTACTCTCTCTTTTGCAAAGAGTCTTTAAAAGGTCTACAATTCTACTGTAATTGTCATTACACAGGGTAAACAATAACATTCATTAGGAGAACACCGGTAACCAGAGATCTATCGTGCATCCCATAACAATATGTTTATGCAGGCCTGCTTTTTTTAAACTATCCCAATGACACATAGTGAAAGCATTTAGTGAGGTCTGACAGGCAAAACACTAATAGTTAATCAATTAACAGATCAAATAGGGGTCATACAACTATTAAGTAAAATCCACACAGAGAGTCTGAATACATATAACCTGTAAAATAACCCTATTAACAAAACTAGTTCCCAAAATGCACACACTATTCATAACTTTTGACATGGGGGCCCTACAATAAAAACAAATATATAACTTAATTTATCCTGAAACACTGGTCACACACATACCAGGTATACCTATCTTATGAGGTACAGAGGGCCAAAGGCATACATTACCCCTTCTGAGGAAGCTATATGGTAGATGTGAAGTTTGGTGTGTTTAAAACCACAATTTGGTACAATTATCTATGGGTTATCAGATATCAGTAGCATGTGGTAAAATTTAAATATGATGGCATCTAGAAAACTGATATTGTGGGAGGGCGTTTTGAAATATTATACACTTCAGCCCTCCAGTCACACACTCCTGGGCCTTTTTTATTGGGCAGTGATGTCCACAAAGGCAGCTGAAGCCCTCGTTTACGATCAAGGAAAGAACATTTTCCAGGAGACTTGTTATTAGAGAGCAAATATCGTATCCAGTTTATGATTTATTGATTAGACTCTGTTGGAACCCAAAAGAACCCAGGACTTGTGCTAAGTAACTTTATTCTTATTTTCTTTTTGTTTTGCTGTTGTAGTATTGGTTTTTTCTGTATATTTTTCTGAGCCATTGTACTTGCTCTTTAAACAATATTTTAAAATTGTTAAAGTAGTATTAAAGGCTGATCGTTTTTTATCTTAATGCATTCTCTGCATTAAGGTAAAAAAACCGCTCAGTACCCTTTTGTGTTTCCTGTCCCCCCAACACTTACATGTCAGTGATGTCACCGTTGCCAGTCTCCGAAGCGATCCTCCCATTCTCTGAACTTCCTGGTTGCGGGGGGAGAATACTGAAGGCAGAGGAGCCATAGGCTCCTTCTGCCATCACTGACCCTTTAGGGAGGAGAGGAGGAGCGTGGCCTGGCGCAGGGCTATGTGTGTCTATGGATGCACACTGCGGGAACTTGCACGCACAGAGCAGCTGCTTAACTGCTGGCGGCACCCGTGCAAGAGGCAGGTAGATGAGTGCTGTGGGGACCACTAGCAAACAAGCAATAGAAGCTTTTTGAAGAAAAAGAACAGACAATTTATAAGAAGATGGGCCTCCTAGATGTAAAAATTAAAAAAAAAAGTTTCAATATAATTTTAAGCTTCATTACTATGCTCAAAATAAGAATTTAAAGAATCCTTGTCCCTGTGAGGAGCACTACCATATTGTAAACCTGTTATATTAACATGAAGTGACCATGTATAATGCACTAACACAGACACACTGGTCAGGGCCGGTGCTAGGTTTCCTGCCCACACAGGCAAGGTGCATTTTTGCGCCCCCCTCCCCAACCCCCTGTAAAAACAGGGCATTTTGACAAGTACAGGTACTTGTCAAAATGCCCTGTTTTTTCCGCCCTCACCCTGCAGCGCCGTAAGGCGGCCGCCTGACTTGCTTTGCGGTAGCGCCGGGCCTGACACTGGTTTGCAGCAACAAAACAATAAAGACTAGCTTGATGTGGCATATTCATTGAAAATCACCTGAGCATATTCACTGGTAATTATGAGTGAATAATAAAAAATGCCGGCTCAATGCATAAACTGAACAAAGGTCTGATAAAATGAGTAAACTTTACCTTTGCTTGTAAATCCTTGTCTAATTGTCTGAAACTGGATTTTTGAATAGCAAAAGTCCCTCTTTTGGCCAAACTGTTTTCTGTAGTAGGTTATATATATTTCAGTTTTAACAAGACACAAACTGGCTTGACTAAAAGCCTACAAATATCTATCTGCACAAACAGATTAGCAATGGGTTATGGTCTCACTCTTCAACCAGCATGCTGCACATACCTGGCTGACATCATACAAAATACAGTACCTTGCATACCTGCAGGACCAAAATCTTGCCTGGTGAGAAACACAGCATGATCATGGTGCTCAGCATGATCTGGATCTGAACGTTGCTGGGAATGGGCCCAGCGACAAACTTGTTCAAGGCTCCTCGATGGGTTTCCACGTTCTATAAGACTGATGGACTGCAAGGAAAATAAAGCAATCAGAGCACATCAGATAAATTACTGTAATTAATACAAACTGCAAAACTTTGTATATTTAAAAATGTCAATATATGGACACATAATTGTTCAGTTACCGCAAGCCTTGACATAAGAATAAATATTGGGCGATTAACCTGAAGTGCATCTTAATTCAAAGAACCATGAAAAGATGTTCCAACAAGCTCTAGCTAATTAGAATTTGGGGTTTTAGGGTAGCCATAGCCACTTTAACAAGTGTACTTACTTAAAGGACAAGTCTTTTATTAGGAAATAAGAAAAAAAACTGCCCCCTAAGCTAGACCCCCACACACAAACTCTCAGGTGCTTACTGACCTGTTCCTGATGGTTTCCTTTGGTGTTTACTGTTTACCGCCCTCTGCACAAAATCTTCTTCATTGCAGCAGTAACTTTCCAAAGACCTGAATGAGGCCATGCTCCTTGCATTTCTAGTTTAGTAGTATGGCCCCATTCAACTTTATATGCACAGGCTCAGGTACTGCCATAATAGATTTTGTGCAGAAGGCTTTAAAAAACAGAGTAGGCTGCCATTAGGAAAAGGTAAATAAGTACCTGGGTGTGGGGGTTGTCTATGTGGTAAGGAACTGAGGGCTTTTTTTCATAAAGATAGGCTAATCCTTTAGTGCCTTCACACCACCTGCATTGGACTGCATAGGGCTGCATTGCTCATTGCAGGCCCAATGCAATAAAAGGCTGAAATCTATTGCATCCAGTAGGCTCAGTCCACACCAATTCACTGTGTTGGTGTGCATTGGGTGAAAATAGAGCAAGCGCTATCATAATGCAGAACAATATGCTGCAACACACTTTAAGGAAAGAAAAATAATGTATTTTGGCTCATGAACAAACAAGCCTGCACATCAATGCAGCTCTTTACAAAAATGCACATGCCTGCTGAATGTAAAGGAAGCAGTGTGAATCCAGCCCTAAATATTTTATTTACCACAATGCCAAATAAATATTGCTACTAACGGAACATATATAACTTAGGGTAATTATTACCAAATAACATTTAGACTGGATTACCATCAAATAACATATTAGACAAAGTAACAGTTTCTCCTGAGTTTGTCAATGTCTTAATGTTACAATTTAAAACAAAATTCACTATGAGCATGGCCATTTTAAAAGATTGCCTCCAATGCTCAGACATAGAGAGCTTAATTCAGCTCTTTGCTTCAGAATAGAAATTTCAACATTGTTTCAACCAGTATTATGAAACTGGCCTCGTTACACACTCACAGTGTATTGTTTTGTTCTAAGTGTACAACTAGGTAATATGTTGTAATATAAAAAATAAAATACAATAACACAGCAGCAAATGACACAACATACAGAGTAAGTAGAAACATTAAGAAAAGAGGAAAGTCCCCACAACTTTAAAATGTCAAATAACAAAAATATACGTAAGCAGTGCAGCTCAGAGGTTGGGAGTAACCAAAATACTTTAATAAACAGGAGGACATGTTATCTTTAAGTAAGCTTTTTATATACAAAATAAAACAACATCAGTCAAAACCAGGTTTAATGGCTTATGATCATTGTGTGTTGTGTAGAGGCTCTATCTTCTAAAGTACAGTGGTAGGCGCAGGCTAAAATGTTTTATGGTCTACATCACATAAATGAAGCAGACTTTACCAGAGGGAGACAAGATGAGACTGGTACTTAGCAACCCAACACTAAAGGACTAAATGTTTAAACAGAATAACCACTTCAAAATATTTTCACACAGACATGCCACTGCTTTGATCTAGATCCCTTTGATAGTAGAGTGAGCATATTGGAGAAAAAATTATGCTTATTATGAAATTTGTAACTATCTGAAAATAGAAATAAAGTGGAACTCAAGGAATTATCTTTTATGGATACTTACAGAGGGCCCCTGGGAATACTAAAAATCATTTTATTAGTCAGCGCTACATACAGTCAGTGCTGGTCCTTTCTGAGCATGGCTTCTTCTCTGCAGATTGAGCACAGGGAGTCACTCACTGGACACAGTGTCCATTCAGAGAACACCTTGTATTTTTTCAATTAATACAAGGCATTTTCTGATTGGACAAAGTGGAGAGGAGAGCCAGTGTTCTCTGAATGGCGGTGATGTCCAGCATGTGACTCCCTGTGCTCAGTGTGCTGAAGGGATGCTGCTGAAACCGCACTCTGAAAAGACTAGGGGGTCTATTCACTAAGCTTCACTATTGCCCATTGGAATGCATTGCTAGATTCCTATTGTCTATTTCAATTTGCAATAGCCAATAGTAAACTAGCATTGTACCCGCCCTCTGCTGCAGTTCTCCATCAAGTACATCTCCCGAACGTGACCGAGCGGCTCTGTCGAGCCGAACGCATATGCCTCGGCTGGGCGGAGCCGTGTCAGAATAGAAAAAAAAAAGAGAAAGCAGTGTTTCTCTCCAGGGTGGCCGGGAGCGGGAGGCTCCCAGAGCGCCCAGGAGAATTTTTTTTTCTTTTTTTTTTGTAGTGTGGGACCGAGCAGAACAGCCGAGCCGAATGCCGCTCAGCGGCATTTGGCTATTCACTCACTGCTGTTCGGTATCTATAAGAATAGGCCAAACAGCAGTGAGTAGCCTGCCAGAGGTTCGGCTCTGCCGATCCAGATGTTGGATCGGCTGAGTTGAACTCCTTCTGCACTTCGGATCAGCCAAACATGCTGAGCATGTTCGGCCGACCCGAAGCCACGCGAAGCAAGCCGATGTACTGCCTACGGCAGCTTAGTGAATAGACCCTTAGATCAAACTATATGTAGCACTGAGTAATAAAGTAATTTGTATTCCTAGCAGCCCTTTGGATATCAGATATGGATACTTACATTAATCCAAGCTGGACCATGTAAGTATCCATAAAAGTTAATTCCTAGGGTTCAACTTTAACAAAATTATTAAAAAAGAAAACATAAGTGGCTGTGTAGCAAGCCAGATGTCCACCATGACTAGCATCTGACAGTTTTTGAGTAGACAGATCTGCACTGGCTGTTTGGGGCCCATACAGGTTCAATTTCCAATGGCCTCACTCTATATTAAAAATCCCCATTACGTCAATGTAAAAACTCAGAAAAGCACTAGAACAGGAAAAAAGCCTTCAAGGTTTCTTATTTTCGATTTATAATGGTTGAAGTAAACTCAAAACATTAAGATGGATACTGACAAGTAATTATCTTAAACATGTCTGTGGGCTATTTTATGATGTACATCATATTTTATGATGATATCATATCAGAATTTTTACAGCGCAAGTAAGGATTATTTTTTCCACATCAGTTCTCTGAATTTCTTACCTGTCTGTACCCTACCATAATCATTCGGACCAATACTATGTTGATGTGAACCCCCAGAGATTCATCGTGGTAAATTTCATCTACCTGTAACAAAAAATGCATGCATTTCTGAAAAAAGCAATATCATAATATAAGCTGACATAATCAAATACAAAATATAAATTACATTATATTTATTCTTATTGATCATAAATTAATAGTACTTATAGGGAAGTTTTGAAACCAGCTTCTCTGGAAATATATACAAAAATTGGTGAGCATTCTGGTTCAACAAAGGCCGTGTGTTTCCTTTAAACATCCCGAGGGTCGGTCATTCACTTACAGGCCTGCCATACACAACATACACCTAAGAGTCCCTTCCGAAGAAGTTATTTGCATATATTTTATACTTATATAGCTGTAATGCTCATTTCTTTGTAATAATGAGAAAAAAGTAAAAAAATAATGATGATAAATAATACATAAACAGTACATAACTAATAACATAAATAGATTCAATTTAAGTACCTTTAATAAATCTAAGGCCTCTCACAGTGCCCCCAGACTCTTGTAGGGATTCTCAG